GCGTTGACTGAACTACTTGTTATCAGCCTTTCTGAAACCGAATATTCCGAGTTGGACAGTTCGGGGTTACTCAACCGTGAGTGTCGTTTTTCACTCTGAGTTTTCCAAACCGGCTTCCTGAAACAGGGCCCAGATCTCGTATCATTTAAAGCTGTTTTCTTCCTGTTTGAAACAGCGCGATGGCGCCGTGGTCACGGCCGTCACCTAGCAGCTGGCTGGATCCAGTCTGTGGGTGTGCACACCCACTGTGACACACTGCCTACCTGTAAGTCATCATTCTGGCCCTATGACAGCTGGACGAAGCGGGATTTAAAAAACTGAATGAAACACCTATTCAGTGGTGCTTGTGTGCATGAATGCAAAGCCTGTCAGGAATGATGCAGCGTGTGGATGTGTTGAAGCCAGAACAGGAACTTTCCCAGGGGACACATAAGGAGCTGGGACTGCTGTGAAGGTTCCAGCATCGAGCTCCAGTCTGATAGTTTGAGGTTATGAATAAATAAGGAACATTTGAAACATTTTAGGACTAATCAACATTTCCCAAAGCAGTTGTGAACGAAGTGTGATGCTTTTCACCTCCTGATGCACAATAAAATAATTACAGTCCCCTTTTGCATTCACTTCAAATGTCTGACATGCTTCCCTTTCCTGCAGCTGATCCGAGCATGCACGCACTTCCAACCTCCAACTCTTTCACTGCACCATGTGCAAAGACGAGTAACCGGGTCGTGCTGCACACATCACCAGCACCCTGACCGTGGTAAAAGCTTTAAAGGAAAGAAACAACGTCCACTTTGGCCCGACGGCCCTCATTTACTAACATCACTTCTGTCCTGTTCAAAAAACAAACACTTGCTGTCAGATTTATGAAACATGCTCATCAGCCTAGTTTGGTCAACAACTGTGCATGTTAGCAAATCTGACTTTTTGAATTGGAGCAGGTAAACAAAGACAGGGCCACGTTCAGCATCTCCTCTGCTGTCATCAAAAAGCCTGGAAGCATCTCTGAGCAGATGTTGTCCTGCCCCTGTTACATGTACGCTTCTAGCTGCTCAGTCTGAGACCTCTGTCACAGTTCTGTTTCAGTCAAGTGTCTGTTTGGCCCCTGGACTCTTCTATGAATCTATGCTGCTGTTTTACCTGTATATACCTTTGAAATGTCTAAATCCTCCTTCAGCTGATCACTGCACAAATATGCACAAATCAGACCCTGAGATGTAGAGTTTTACCTGATCCAGAGCCTGAAGTGGTCATGTCATAGATTAGGTCCTTCAGTGTTGTTCCCACAGTGATGAAAGGGTGGTCCATGGAGGGGTCTTCCTCATTAGGCACCCGATGGTGGTGGTGGTGGGCCCCGGCTCCCCCAGCGCCCAGGCCTCTGTGGCTGTGGCAAACGTAGAACGCCAAAACCAGCAGCAAGCAGAGCACACATACAGGGCCAGCAATGACAGCAGCGAGGGCCACCGGCCCCAGAGGAGAAGGGGTCGCTGTGGGGCCTGCAAGACACAAAGAGTGTTGGTCAGAATACCTGCCGACCCAAAGCCTGGACCTGCGCTGGCCTGACTGCAGCCTGGAAGCATAAAGGTTAATGTGACGACGAGCCTCAAGTCCTCGTTCTGTGGATCTCAGAGTGCACGACACAGGTTTACGTGGATTCAGGACCTCAGTCATGCAGTGCGGTAGAAACACATCCCCACTGGATCGGGCTTTTTGAACCTGGTGAGCAGCTACGTGTAGCTTAGGTTTGTGTACTCAATCAGCTTCACTGACCGTGGTTACACCTTCACCAGCAGCGCCCATACTGACGTCATCATGACGGTAAAAACCATCACAACCGTGCACTTCACAGCAGCTTCACCAGCAGATGTGACCCTGCGAACGCATCATTAATCCCCCATCTATCTAACGATCTACCCGGTGCACTGCGCCGAGCGTGTTCGTCTGCTACCAGACAACAGCGGCGTTTTAGACCAGTGAGGGAATGAGAGTCGCTGCTGTTTGGATTTAGCGAGGAGGACGAACGAAATGTCATCATTAGAAAAACAGGAATTCTCACCTCTAACACAAAAGTACAAAAGTAGAAGTACTATGAAATACTATGTTCAGCCTCAGTTTGTTCAAGCTTAGCTGGTTAATGCACCTGAAACCCATCAGAGTCCACCTCGCACTACATCACTACAACACTTATTTTTGGGAAAGTCCAGACTTGGAGCCAATGAAAGGCCAGACGTGCTCTAAAGTCCTCCAATGGGGCTGATGTAAAACGATTCTGAGAAGACGAGTGGGCCTCACTCCCAGTTATCACAAACACACGAGTGCAGTTCTTTGGTTTAGGGCATAATTACTTTTTCACGTGAAAGTTTTGCGTAGCTCGTTTCCACCTTAATAAATCATCGTTTAATGAAAACTGCATTTTATATTTACTTGGGATGTGTTTTTTTATTTATTTAAAAAAAAACATGCAAACAGTTTTTCTAAACTGCATGTCAGTGCAGTCACCCTCAGCTCCCTCTGCACCACATCAGACCAGTACAGCACCAGTCCACTAAGTGCACTCATGAAAAAGACCCTCCTACTCTAACACTCTCGCTCCACTTTGTTTGTTTTAACGACTGAGAAGCTTTTCCACCTGCAGTAGCGTAGTAGCTGTACTTTATAATTAAAGGAAGGCATGAAGAGGCAATATGGCTGGTGTCCTCTTACCAGTGGGGGTCACTGGCTCTTTGTTGCAGTAGTCTGTGGTACAGCACAGTGGGTAAATGCCACTGTCATCTTTGGTAGATGGGGCACAGATGAAGGGTCGGTCTCGTGGGATCAAGTCACGATTGTGCACACACTGGCGCTGCTCAATGGTCATCCGGCTGCCTGACTTTTGGATGGCTACAAAGCAGATACCGTCTGTCGTGCAGCTGGAGTTGGTGCTGCAGCGGTCACAGTAACACTGAAGGCCTGGAAGAGGAAAAAGGGGGAAGGATTAATTCACTTCAACTTTATTTATACAGCACAAAATCACAACAGCAGTCGCCTCAAGCTGCTTCATATTGTACAGTAGAGCCTACAATAATACCTACAGAGAAAAACCCAACAATCATATGACCCCCTATGAGCACTTTGGCGACAGTGGGAAGGAAAAACTCCCTTTAAACAGGAAGAAACGTCCGGCAGAACCAGGCTCACATCTATGGGCAGTTAACCTAAGCCCGCTATCTGCATGTGTTTGGACCACGAGACCAGAGAACGCACGCAGACGGAGACAGAACACGCCACATAAGGATCATTTATTCATCAAAGACACAAACGCACCACTAGGGCTGGGCCATATTATACCGTTCACGGTAATACCCGAGAAAGAAAAGAGTGTGAGATAACTTCACTCAGAGATGGAGAAAGATATCAGAAAGACAGGACAGGAGAGGAAAGAAAAGCAGTTATATTTGTATAGATTTATATTATTGAATACTGTGATGTATGTAGGACAGCATGGTGGTGTTAGCACTGTCACCTCTGTATGGAGGATGTTGTTTCTGTGTTTGCCTGGGTTCTGTCCATGTACTCCCGCTTCCAGAGACATGCAGTTAGTGGGGTTAAGTGGGGATTCTAAACTGCCCATAGGTGTGAATGTGTGTGTGAATAGTTGTCTGTTTCTCTGTGTTAGCCATGCGACAGACTGGCGACCTGTCCAGGGTCTACCCTGTCTATCACCCTATTGTGTCTGAGACAGGCTCCTGCCCATTTTCTTGCTGAAGCATCCACCCTCATTTTGTCTGTATCCTCTTAGTAGATGGCAAGAGAGTTTTATCAAGAATGTCTTGGTATATTTTTCTATTTCTCCTTCCTTCAGTTATATAAAGTGTACCAGGGCAGCATGCTGGCAAACAGCCCCACACCACGATGTTCCTACCTCCAAACTCCATGCCTTTTGAACATGGTGTGTACTATGGCATCAACTTTGGTCTCATCTGACCAGAGCATACTCAGTATTTTACAGGCTTAGGTAAATGTTGTTGAGCAAACTGTAAACGTGCTTCAACCTGCATTGGAGTTTTGCGTAGTGAACATGCATACAGTGCATTACTTGTGGTTTTCTTTGAAAAAATTGCTGATTCCAGGTCTGTCTGGAGCTCTCCACACGTGCTCCTTGGCTGAACATTTTTGATCATTTTTTTTAGTCCTCTGTTTGAAAACTTGAGGGAAGCAACTCGTCATGGCCAGTTTATGGTGAAATGATGCACCATGGCCCAAGAGAGACTGTATAGTGCCATGCCAGTCTTGCTTGTAATGCGCTTGCAGGTGCTCAGATGAAAATGAAGACACACTTTGACATAACATCTGTTGCACTTGTAACCCTACTTACAGTTTATTAATAAGAACAACTAAATGACATAGAAACTGAAGTGAGGAGAAGGTAAGTGACGGAAGTGACGGACAAGGTAAGCGACTCATGTTGTAACTGACGTCAGACGCCGGAGATTTTGGCGGAAAATTAAAGCAAATGGTAGTTTAGATTTGAACAAATTCATTTAAGCTTCAGTATTACCAAATACACTTATCAATTGTCTTATAACTAACACTATTTGTCTAAATAATCTCCAACACCCTGGAGAACAACGAGGAGAGTTTAGAGACTCTCCAAGATTATATTGATCAGTGCTTTCAGGATCTCGTGATGAAGAAGACCCAGTGTGCAGCTTCCCCGGCCAAACCTGAGACGCCGTCGTCGAAAAGACAACGCCCGGCAGATTCCCCCGGCTCAACATCGCCAGCCGGCAAAGATATTGCCGACATACTGGAGTCAATCGACAAGCGATTGTCCAGTTTCGACGCAAGGCTGTCCTTGGTGGAGATTCTTCACCGAGAATTTAAATGCTTGCGAGAATCCCTGGAGTACAGCCAGCAGCAGGTGGAAACGCTTGCTGCTGAAAATGCCACGCTAAGGGAGTCGGTGAAATGTCTCACAGATAATGTTACCCAGCTCAATAGAGAAAATAAAAAAATAAAAGAAACAGTTATCGATCTACAAGCTCGTAGCATGCGTGATAATCTGGTATTTTCTGGTATTCCAGAAGCCGCTGGAGAGGACGCGGAGACCACGGTAAAAAGCTTCATCAAAACCCACCTGAAGCTGCCGGAGGACACTGTGAAGAACATCGTCTTCGATCGGGTACATCGCCTCGGCCCCATTCGGGCTACGGCCGGGAGACCACGTCCTATCGTGGCCAAATTCGGCCACTTCAAACAAAAGCAACATGTGAAAAGCCGCGGCAGGGAATTAAAAGGAACGGACTTCAGCGTGAACGACCAGTTCCCCAAAGAGATCTTGGAACGACGCAGGGTCCTCTTCCCAATCCGACGCGGCTTCATCCAGAAGGGCTCCCGCGCTGTCATCGCTGTGGACCGGCTGTACGTGGACGGACAGCTCCACCGCGACCCCAACATCACTCCGTGGCTGTATTAACCTCACACCAGATAAGAATCAGCTACACCATTTCCCTATCCACTCACACTAACTTGCATTAACATCTGTTTAACTTACCAGCATCAAATCGCATCTTAAAGTGTGATTTCATAGCAGAATTAACACCGTCACTCTCCGTCAGTGATTTAATTGGAATGTTTACGTTTTGTTTTGTTTTTTTCTTCTCGTTTTTTTTCCCTCTCTTTTCCCCCTCTTGGTTTTATGCTGCTCACCCCTGTCCTTGGTTTCTTTCTTTATTCCTTTCACTGCCTCGATCACCTGCTTCGACACTCATCCACAAACATCCTTTATTTCGACACATACGCACCATGCGCTCAACGGCAGCACATTTACATCAGTCAGACAGCGCACACAGTCGTTTAGGATACACACACTTAAGCCAAGCCTACTTTTTTCAGTGCACTCTCTGAACACTTAGATGGCACACTTGTTCTTGGAGGCGACCTCAACCTTGGACTAAATGAAGACATGGATAGGCTCAATACAGCAGGAACTCAGCGTAATTGGCAATCCACAAATATAATCAAACAGTATATGAGCGACTTTGGTCTTTGCGATGCATGGCGCTCCCTTCACCCCAACAGTAAGGAATATACTTTTTTCTCACATGTTCATCACTCCTACTCTCGTCTGGATTATTTTTTGGTCAGCAGCTCACTGCTGAACGACATTTCAGACACTGAGATTCATCCTATAGCTGTCAGCGATCATGGTCCTGTATCTTTAACACTAATGCACAAGAATAATACTACGCCAAGAAAAAACTGGAGATTTAATACATCACTGCTTAAAGATGAAGACTTTATTAAATATTTTAAAAAAGAGTGGACTTCATATTTAGACTTTAATGACACTCCCGAAACATCAGCTTCTGTTCTATGGGAAGCAGGGAAAGCTGTGATGAGAGGTAAAATAATTTCTTTCTCATCACATAAAAAGAAAAAAGAAAACAAAAATATTCAGGAATTAGAAAAAAACATCAAATCACTAGAAGAAGCCTACGCGTCCCACCAAGATCAGGAAACATTGAACAAAATACGCAAAACTAAACTAGAATTAAATGAGATAATTGATAAAAAAACAAAATTCTTAGTACAAAGACTACGCCTACAAAATTATGAACATGGTAATAAATCCGGTCAATTTCTAGCAAACCAGCTAAAAATAAATAAAGAAAAAACAACTATATGTGCTGTTCAAGATTCATCTGGGAACACAATATATGATCCGATACAAATAAACAACATTTTCAGGGATTTCTATAAAACGTTGTATTCACCACAAATAAACCCATCTAAAAAAGAAATTGATCAGTTTTTGGACAACATAACTCTTCCAAAATTATTGGACACTCAAGCAATGGCACTGGATTCACCACTGACACCAGGTGAACTCCAGGAAGCCCTGATAAGTATGCCCAATAATAAGGCTCCAGGTCCAGATGGCTTTCCTGCAGAATTCTACAAAGAATTCTGGTCGATTCTAGCACCAGTTTTCTACAGAACGTTGTTGGAAATTAAAGAAAAGGGCAGACTTCCATCAAATATGAATTCTGCAAACATTAATCTCCTGCTAAAACCAGGCAAAGACCCTGTATATCCCTCAAGCTATCGTCCAATATCCCTTATAAATGTAGACCTTAAAATAATCTGCAAAGCTCTCTCAAAGAGACTGGAGAAAATAACCCCCCTCTTAATTCATCCTGACCAAACTGGTTTCATAAAAGGTAGGCACTCATCAACAAATACACGTAGATTACTTAATTTGATAGACTACTCATACAGTAAAAACCTAGAAACTACAATATTCTCTTTAGACGCAGAAAAAGCATTTGACAGAGTTAACTGGAAATTTCTATTTGCAACTTTACACAAATTTGGTTTTGGATCCTCTTTCATAAACTGGTTAAAAATATTATATAATTCCCCAACAGCTTGTGTTAGAACAAATGACCAGACATCCTCCAGCTTCTGCCTCTTGAGGGGCACCAGGCAGGGATGCCCACTCTCCCCTTCACTATTTGCAATTTTTATTGAACCACTAGCAGCAGCAATTAGACAGAATTCAGTAATTAAGGGCATAAAATGCAAGAACGTGGAACATAAAATCAGCCTTTATGCGGATGATGTGTTACTCTTTCTCCAAAATTCACAAACCAATATCTCTGGGGTGATTGAATTGATAAACTCTTTTGCAAGAATATCAGATTACTCAATTAACTGGTCAAAATCTACAGTCCTACCGATTAATTGCTCCTTCCATAATTCCTCTTCTACACCACTGCAATCGGGAAATATAAAATATTTAGGTATTAATGTTTCTCCCAAGCTTGCAGATCTAACTAAATTAAACCATATCCCACTTTTAAAGAAGGTAGAAGATGATCTGGCTAGATGGAAATGTCTACCCATATCACTCATGGGAAGGGTTGCCGCTATAAAAATGATGGTCTTACCAAAAATAAATTATTTATTCTCAATGATCCCAACTAAACCGCCACAAGATTGGTTCAGATCTC